AATATGTTTTTGTTAAAGATAGACATGTATATTTGTCTTTTAACCCATAAATCCAATATACTATAATCCATTTGAAAATAAAACGAGCAAATTAAACAAAAAATTTCTAAAATTCAATAAAAATCCAAAATAATAAAATCCAACATAATTCTTTAAATTCAAAATCCAAAATTTTACCCAAATCCTTCATTTTTAAAAATTCTACAAGCAAACAACACCTGAAACTATAACAAAAATATTCCCTCGAGATGTGCTATCAAGATAGATCTTGTTACACCCCGATATCTGGGTTCAGGTTCGACCATACTAAGTGAATGGTTTGATCGATGGTTACATACGAAAAGACAAAACCAAACCAAGTTAAGGACCATGGCCTAATTAATTGACGTGGCCCAAATAGATCTTTGCCCGACAGTAGTGTTGCAACATGGATTGAGAGGAATGATACTAGTAATAGTAGTTTTATTACTAATATAATGAGTATATAAATATACGCATAAAGCCATTACAAACCCTAAACCAAGTTGTTCCAAGCGGCAGCCGAGAAAGAAGAAGAAAAATAAAGTAGAAACCTCTTGGAATCCCCATCCGTTCCTTCCCTTCAAGTCGTTCCGCCGCTCGCACCGCATCCCTGAAATTAATCGTTAGTTATCATGGATGGATGATGGGGAAGGTGGAAAGTTCACTCCGAGAAGGGGTGGTTTCACGAACGATGACTTTAGGGGCTGTAGAGGGAAAGCCCTTCAGGTGGTGTCCATCGTGTTTGGCAACCGAGAAGCTCTTATCGAGAAGAAGAAAGCTATCAGGGAAGGGGGAAAGAGTTTGCTGGATACGGGTGGTTAAGACAAGGTACAAAGTTGAATTTCTCCCCTATTCTTTAGATTCAATCTATCGAGCGCTGGTGATTTTTGGAAGACGGAGATATGTGGTTTGGTAGGTAGGCTTTGAGTGGTGATGATTAGTGGGCGATCGACAAGCTTCGGGAACGTACTTGGAGACAGCCATGGGGATGGGTGGAGATGGGAATCGACAAAATCAAAGGTAATGATTCTCCTATTTTATTATGGTTGGGATGCGACGGTAATGATCCTAGCGCGGTGATGATTAGCTCGATGATGAATGCTTTCTTGTCATGGCGTTATTTTGAGCTGAAAGGTTTGGGTTAGACACGTTAATAAGTGGATTATTAGGAAGAGTAGCTGTCAAAGAAAAGGTGGATTATTAGGAAGAGTCAATTGGAAAGATGGGTCAAGAAGGATTTACCTTTTGTGGGGTGTGTATTTTTTATACACGTGTGTCCTGGATCATTGCTTAGGTGGAAGGTTAGTGCATTTGTGGCCTGAGTAAGTGAAGGCTAGTGCATGGAGTGGATTCATGATGCATAAAGTAGGGTGAAGACTACGATGCAGTAGCAAGAGGATGAGATGTGCAAGTCAGGACATCGACGGCATAAATTGAAGGGCAAGGTCAAGTCAGTTGATGGTGAAAATGAAAGGTGAGTGTAAAGGGGGTAAAATCTCCGTCGGGGTCTTTTAATTCAGTTATGTTTGTTATTTTCAAGTAAGCGCGATTATGTGTGAGGCATTCCACCGCCTACTTAAGGTGGAGGCACGCGTTGTGCTATGTATGTGAATGTGTGTGGTTGTTGGTAAGATGGAACCCCCGGGCGGTTGGGCCACTACTGGATGCGGTAGATGGTCGGGTCACTACTGGACGACGATACGTAACGCAGTAGTTGACCAGGCGTGGACTGGACGGCGATACATAACGCAGTACCATTGCCTTGAGGATAGGGACACCGGACGGCGATACGTAACGCGGTGGTCCCTAGTATTTATGTGTATGAGTTAAGGGTAGAAGTAAAGGACATCTATAAGTTAAAGTTAAGGGTTTAGGAGGTTCCATAAGCTATTAAGGAAATAAAGTACTTAAAGAGGTGAAAGTGAGAACGGCTTTCTTGTAAGAGGAGGAAATTTCTAATAATGTGTTAGTAAGGGTTTACTTAGAGCAAGACCTTAGGAAGTAACGACGAGACTGACCCCTTCTCACTCACCAGGTTGAGGATGGGTTAGCGGTGGTGGACGCCAAGAAGGAGCAAGGCTATGCGAGCAGCCGTACCAGCACTGATGAGAAGTCAAAGAGCTTGTGAGGAGTCAAGTTAGATGAGTTAATTATTTTGTTCATGATTATGAGTTTATGTACTGGAGATTCAAGATTCAAGATTCTGGGTTAAGTTGCTTTAAGTATTTTGATAATGATTGCCCAAGTGTTGGGGCTTTTCGTTTGGAATTCTTAAGTAATGTCAGTTTGTTTATTTAAAAAAAATGGCCAGTTTGGTTGCTCCGGAGTAACCGGTTTTGGGTTTAAGTTGTGGTTTGATTTTCGAAAAAGGTCGGGACGTTTCAGATCTAATGAAGGCTTTCGATTATGTTAACTAGGAATTCATTTTGCAAGTGTTAAGGTGCATGCAGTTTCCTGAAAGGTTTATTAAATGGATTAGTATGTGTGTGTACCCCTATGCTGAGTGTTTGTTTCAATGGGGGTCTGGTGGGTTACTTCCCAGCCAGGAAAGGGTTCAGGCAAGGTGACCCTTTATCTCCTTATCTGTTCTCTATAGCAATGGAAGTGTTCACATGTCTGCTTGATAAATCTGCTGCCAATGGACTTTTCCCCTATCACCCTATGTGCAAGGGCATCCAGCTCACACATCTTTGCTTTGCGGATGACCTTATGGTCTTCTCGGATGGGTCTAACTATGGGATACAAGAATTGCAAAGAGTTCTGGAGCAATTTAAAAATGTTTCTGGGCTTAAGTCTAACCCCAGCAAATGTGAGGTCTTTTTTGGGGGGCTAGACAAGGAAGAGAGGAAAGTAAGGGCATCTCGCTATGGCTACAAACTTGGTGAGTTCCCAGTTCACTGTCTGGGGGTTCCCCTTATCTTTGGGAAGCTCAACTTGTCTTCTTGTCAAGCTCTGATTGATAAAATGGTAACAAAAGTTAAAAGCTGGCAAGCTAAGTCACTCTCTTATGCTGGCAGGATTGAGCTTGTTAGTACGGTTTTATACAGCCTCACTCAATTCTGGATGTTAGTTTTTCTTTTGTCAAAATCAGTAATCAAGGAAGTGGAGAGAATATGTAGTAATTTCATTTGGGGGGTTGGAGTTGGGACGAAGCTAAGAGCAAATGTAGTCTGGCAGAAGGTTACCTATCCAAAGAGAGAAGGTGGACTGGGTTTTAGAGATCCGTGGAGCTGGAATCAGGCATGTATGACGAGGCATTTATGACTGATTTTGATGCAAGAAGGATCTCTATGGGTTGCTTGGATCAGCAAGTACAAACTGAAAGGGCGAGATCTCTGGAGTTACTCCTGCACTTCAGGGTCTTGGAACTGGCACAAGATACTGAAGCTAAGGGGTAAGGTTGCATCTTTTATCTCGATCAGAGGGGGGGGGGGGAACTTCGTTTGAATGATTCTCCTATGCCTTCTTTTTCTATTAAGAGGGTTTGGCAACTACTGCGGCCTTCTCAACAGACTGTTAATGGTGGAAATTGGTTTGGAAGGGCAAGGCCATCCCTCGTAACAGAGTGATTACATAGCTTGTGATTAGAGGGAGTATTAACACCAAAGTGAAGATGCAAAGATGGGGATATAGTGGTAGTTTGGAGTGTTGTTTATGTGGAACAGGAGTGGAGGATCGAGATCACATATATGCTTGTTGTCCTTTTACACGTCATATGTTATAATCTCTTTTCTCTAAATTTATGCATATCCCAGTTATGCAGCGATGGGATGAGGTTTTGAATCTGATGATGTCTAAACTAGGTGGAGTTTCAGAGGCAGCTGAAACAGGGAGATTGATCTGGCAGGGCTGGGTGAGCCATGTATGAAGAGAGCGATGCCGATGCTTATACTCAGCTGCGGAGAAGAATTACAATACTCTGTTGAAGACGATTAAATCTGAAATTGAATGTCTGATAGGGGCGCATCGAGCTTGTCTATTCTGGGTTGATTAGCCATCTTTATCTATATTGGTTACTTGATTGTAGGTTGATAAGAACAGTCACTATGCTATTACAGATTACCTAGCTAGCAAGGTTGTTGCTAGCACCCTTTCTTTTTATGAATGAAAACCCACTGATTCATAAAAATAAAAATAAAAAATGTAACAAAAAGCATTAAAAGTATAAATTACTCTTGGAGGCTCTAAGATGCAAAAAGGAACAAAAGAAAGAAAATGGGTTAATTGCATGGTTGATCACTCAGATTACAAAAAACATTCGAGTTTGGTCACTCAAAATATTTGAATCCATTGGTTGTACTTCAGTTTACTGAAATCGTTCACCTTTGTCACACTCCATCCAACTCCGTTAACTTATGCTTACGTGGCGGTCAACTCTAAAAGTTGACCGTTAAATGTGTGACGTGACAATTTAAAAATATAAAATAATTTTTTTAAAATTGCCATCTCATTTCCACTTCATTATCACTTTTATTTAAAATAAATAAAAACCCCTAATTTCTTCTAATCCCCAAGAGGTGATAAAATACGCTGGTGCCCGCAGATCTTGGGAGATAGAGGGCAAGTGATTTGATACACCCATCAAACCAACGCCACTGACAACATTGCAGCTATTGCTCTCATTCGGAGAGCTTTGCAAGCTTGGACACCAGCGACGAGAAGGTTGTCGATCGGTGGACGGCGACTATTCGGGTCTCTCAGCCGAAGTGGAGTAAATTGTTGTGAGGGCTGATAATTAATATCTATAATCTAATTAATCTTTATTAAATAATTAATATAATAAACCATATAGACAAAGTAAGTGGAATAATGAGGTGGAAAAATAAATTAATTTTTTTAATTTCCACGTCATATAGCTAACTGTCAAGCTTTATGTTTGACCGCCATGTAGGACAAATTTAATTAACAGAGTGTAACGGCAGGTGACTAACGGTGAAACGATTCGTAAAGTTAGTGACGAATAAGAAAGAAAAGTAATTCGAGTGGCAAACGTGAAAGATTTATATAATTCGAGTGACCAAACGTGTAATTTAGCCAAAGAAAAATTGTACAATTGAGCAAATTATACTTCTCTTATTCATCCAACATACAAAAAGCATGCAAAATACATAACAACATACTTAATAGTGTACAATAAAACGTAACATACAAATAACATTTGCTCTTACAAATATGTTGAATCAAACACACTCATCATCAAGCCATGGCATTGTGTGCGTGCGACAGGGTACAAGCGAAGGCCATATTTCCTTTTGATTGCAGCGCCAAAAGCTTCCGACATGTCCAAATCTTCAGGCTCAGTTCCACTAGGAAGCTTCCAATCAAAATGAAACAGTAAATTTGCTAGTGTAAGCTTTACCACAGCCATCGCACTGTGCATTCCAGGACACATTCTTCTTCCTGCTCCAAATGGGATTAACTCAAAATTGTTTCCTTTGTAATCAATCGAACTATCGAGAAATCTTTCTGGAAAAAATTTCTCAGGATCCACCCAACGATCAGGATCTCTCCCGATTGCCCACCCGTTGACTATAACTTTGGTTTTAGACGGAATATCATACCCACAAATTTGAACTTTCTCCTGGCTTTCTCTTGGGAGGAGCAAAGGAAGAGTGGGGTGTAACCTTAGAACTTCTTTGATGACACAGTCTAAGAATGTGAGCTCATGAAGACTCGATTCTACCACGTTGTGCTTTCCACGATACACTTGCCTGACTTCGTCTTGTGTTTTTTGAAGTACTTTCTGGTCTTTTATCATTTCAACCATCGTCCATTCTATTGTTGCAGCTGATGTTTCTACTCCAGCAACGAACAACTCCTAAGAACCAAAGTAGGCAGATTATGAGAATAAATTATATGGTATAGAAATTAACTCCATTTTTTTTAAACTCTCCCGATAATTTGAATTATTAAGATCGTTTGATATATAATATTATTCATTATTGACTCATAGTTGTTATGTTCAAATACCAGTAATATGCCTACAAAATTAACTATTAATTTAAACATAACGTACAATGGAATTTAACAAACTTTAAGCTCATACATTACCCATATTTCAATTGTCAACCTCTTCCAACATTTTAAATTATTGAAATGAATCGATTCTCGAAACTTACCAGTGCCACTCCTTTGATGTTTTCCATGGTGACGTTGCATTGGTGACTCCCACTTTCATGATGATTGAGTAGGACATCAACAAGGCCCTCCCAGCAGTCAATGCCGCCACCTTCTTCCACCGATTCGGTGCCTCCCTCCATTACCTCTCTTCTTCTCGCCTTGTGTTCACTAATTATCTCATCAAGCATCAACTCCAACTCCCTATGCATCTTTCTAAGTTTAGCCTTAAAACCAGTCACCACCGGGAGGAATTTCATCGACGGGAAAAGATCCGACACCCTGAATCCTCCCAGGACCTCCGAGACATCCTCCGCCAGCTTCAGAAACCCATCGTCTAGCTCCCTCGGCTTTCCCAACACTGTCCGAGCCATCACCCGGCTCGAGAGCAATGATGCCTCTCTCCGGATCTCCACGGCCTCCCCCAGCTCGACGCTGCGGGAGACACTCCGGACGAGATCCGCTACCTCCGCCTCTCGAATGGGGCGGAAGTAGCGGACCCGGTTCGCCCCCAACGCCTCCATCACGCAGATTTTGCGGAGGCGCTTGTAGGACTCCGAGTAGGGAACGAACGTCAGGTCGCTCCCCGCGTGCAGAACCATATCTGCCCCGAGGAGCGATGGCCTGGACGCGAAGACCACGTCGTGGGTCTTCATCACCTGTCGTGCTGCCTCCGTGGAGGAGATCACAATGTGTGGTACCTCCCCCAGCTGGAGGCGCATCACGTCTGGCCCGTGTTTACGAGCCAGATCGCGGAGGCGCTGGTGGGGGAGGGCGGATGATGAGGAGATGAGTTGGTGGAGGTTCCCGATGATCGGGAGCCTCCACGGCCCTGGTGCTGGCAGTGGCGACAGAAGTCTTTTGTCGCTGCTGCTACCAGTCAGGGTTGCGATCTTCCGAATTAAGATTGTTAGGAGGGGGAGTGTGATGATAGTGAAGGTAAGAAGAGCGAGGAAGGTTGAAGAGGCGCAGAGATCCTTGGCCATGCTCATTGTCATTGAGTAGGTTACATGTGACATCGTTTCAATCTAGTGTAATTTTCATGGTGATCAACAATCCTGAACTCTCCTTTCCTTTTATAGCATTGGCGGAGAATGGTGATGGAGTGGAAAAAAACAGTAGCAATCTGGTAGCCATCAATGGGAGCGAACACCCTAGCTACGTACAGAAGGCTAGGGTGTTGGTTTTAACCTAATTAGGCACATGTCATTTTACGGTTTGCCTTCCTTTCATGTAAGGAGTACTCTATTATTAGAACAAAAATGTGAGGTGTCTAATATGATGTTTTCTTATTAATGCATGGTCTGTGACATTACGTGTATCTGCTATCTGGTATTTGTCCAATCCGAACTAATTAACATGGGTAAATTGAGACATTTATAGGCTATCTAACTATAAGGCGAAAGGACTATGCATCAACACATTTTTTCATTACACCTAATCGAATATAAGAGTATTTTTATAATAATAATAATAATTATTATTATTAGTCCTAATGCCAACCATTAATTAATTTAGTTTCAAATGATTAAGGCCAATTTGCAAGCCTGCTGTAACGAGACAAATGTCTACGTAACAAAATCGTGATTCTAGTTTAGGCTACTCCTACAAATGAATAGATTTAAAGGCAACTGAAAATACGATAAATTGAGGGTTTCTTTTTCAATGATAATATATATGAACTAATGCTGAAGTACATAAATATAGAAATATAATAGATTGGATTAGATTGGATTGAAAATACGATAAAATGAGGATTTTTTTCTTCAAATATCGTACTTAGTGGATGGATTAAATTGAATTGGAAATTGCCACCTCAACTTCCGGTGCGATTTGCTGACAATTTAGTGATTTTAGGCACTGATACTATACGCAACAAAATCACTAACCAACCAATATATATCAAGCTGAAACGACGAGAAACTGTTAACAATGCAGGATTAACGGACAAAAAGACACATGTGAACACTGAAACGATTAGAAACTTTTATTCTGACCCTCAATATTCACCCATGTATGAATATCGGGGGCTCTAACAAGTTCACGATGGATGACAAACAACAAAAGACAGGGAACAGACAGTATACAATAATTACCAACATAACATGGTGAACTGAACACATGCAGTACACAGAAGAGTAATGATATTATATATGTGCATGATCTTTCATTAGCAGGATAGTTTAGACCCCGGCTTGACCCCGAAGCGCTTGCAGTACTTCTTGTAGAACTTCACCCGAGATTCAACCGCCGGGCGGTTCCCGCCGTTGCACTCCCCGCCGTTGATGGCCCTGATGGTGGCCGCGAACCCTTTCTTCAGCACCGGGCGGACGCTCTTCTTCCAGAACCACAGCGACGCCTTCCACGCGATGACCTTGTTCTTCGCCACGATGTCCGGATTCTTCAAGCCGTCGAACTTGTTGGCCTTTCCACATGGCCCGTAGTTGTAGTTCCACGTCAGCTGAAGCGGGCCCCTCCCGTAGTACTGCTTCCCCGGGGCGCACGGCCACTTTGTCGCCTTCGATTCGCAGTAGGTCGCTTTCTTGATCTCCTCCACGTAGCACAAAGCTGCATGCATGCATCGTCGTCGTATGATCAATACATCAACTCCATAGAATTAAATTACGTACGTCCAATGCATTAAACAATCTAATTTTTATAGTTTAAAGCACATATTTTGACTACAATTGTATCTACGTAGAAGTGTTGGTGAAATTTAACATTTAACTCGAGATTTTGACTGTATTGCCTACGTCGAAATGTGAAACTTACATCCGGTCTCGTGGGTGACGTGGGCGAAGAAGGCGGCGATCTCGCGCTTGGTGGCGGCGTCGGAGGATTGCTTGCCGAACTCCGGGTAGGACTTGGTGGCGGTGAGGAAGGCGGCTCTGGTGTAGAATCGCTTCCCTTTGCAGGTTGATCCTGCGTTCTTTATTATGCTGTTGAAGAAGGCCGCCGTCACCACCTTATCCACCGCAACACCCAATTTACCCTCGTCGTCAGTATCCTCCTCATCCTCCGACTCAAAATCCGAATTGGACTCATTCGATGGCGAAAGTGATTCAGTATCATCGTCTTCTTCGTCGTTTTGATGATCAGTTGGCATTACTATGTAACCTGTCTCATCATTCTCGTCCTCGAGCAAGGCTTCATCGTCATGTTGTTCGTTCTCTAGCTCGACATCGTCCTCGAAAAGGCCTTCACCGTCGAGTTGTTCGCTCTCTAGCTCGACATCGTCCTCGAAAAGGCCTTCACCGTCGAGTTGTTCGCTCTCTAGCTCCACATCGTCGTCCTTGCTAGGCATTGAGCCTCCGAGGAGTACATCTTCATCGGACTCGTCGGGGCGGTGGAAACAATCAGCCTCGGTGGTAGTAGTGGTAACTGCGTCTCCTGAGGCGGCGAGCATCAGCGGGAGAGCTATGGCTAGGAGGAGAAAGAGGAAGGGTAGTATTGTTGACAACTTCGCCATGTTTGGTGAGATAGTAGAGAGAGTTGCTGGGATGTGTTTTGAATGAGAGGAAGAGTGTCCATTTATAGGCTGGGATAAATGTGTACTTGATTAAGGAATTTGGGTCATTAATCTAGTTTCTTATCCAACGTTAAATTGACAAGCTAGGGCTAAGGGGACAGGTTGGTTGACAAAATTACTAAAAATGTTTGCAGTGATATCATTTGGTGTTAGCTTCACGGGATATATTTAGTTTTGATTATGTTTCGTTAGCTTCGTGTTTGATCAACCACTATGATTCGTGACTATAGATAAGATGACAAGAACATTATCCAAATAATAACTTTGGTCCATGTTTCCATCTCATTGATTCATTCAAACACACACACATATATATATTTGTGGCATCTGTGACTATATATATCTGCAGGCTGCCAAAGTCTTTCGCTTAGATGATTTCTTGTTCCAAAAGTTACTTAGTTGCAGTACTAAATTGAAAACTTGCCTTTCATATGGACACCTACCTGTTACTCCACTGTTTGCACATATATCCTATGTGCGTATGCATTTGAATAGTTGAGAGTAGAGAGGAAAAGGCTGTCCACCTCACATCTGCAATTCTAATTGATCTTTATTCGTTGATTTAAAAATTGAAGAGAATGTTTCCATGTGGGTATGTGATGAGGGACACGCTTAATAAGTGGCAATTTGTGTTTGATGTGGTTAATTATTGGACTTTGGGCAGTAAAGGGTAGTTTTCCAGGTTTTAAAAATCGTATCCTATTGTTCGGTTGGATTGAAAATATCAAATATTCATCACAAATGATAGATAGTTTTAACGGTATGACATTCTCGAATAAGGGTTAAATCACGATTTTAGTATTACCATTGACTTTTTCGGTATAACCTCTGGTACGATTTCCCAATTTTTAGTAGTTTTGTGGGGGATTTTTTTTTTTATAACCAGGAACATTCGCACGCACACACCACATTTTGGGATGGCGGAGCACAACCAAACCTAGGGGCAGCTACACACTTTACACACCAACAGGGCTTCGTGGCGATAGCCAAACATGCCTCCGAAAATACCATATTGGATTTCGAGCGGTAGTCAAACACGGAATCTCCCACTTCCCGGAACGAACGACCACAAAAATTTACCGGTATACTATTTGAGCTTTGGCTGTTTTGTGGAGGATTATTGGTAGAACAATTAGTTGAATAATGTTAATTAGTAGGCCAGCTGCCAATCTCGACTTATATTATTTTGTATTTTGAGATTAGAAGATTATTATGCAAATTATTAGAAATATTGGCTAAAGCTCTCCCCCCCTTCTCAATCAGTCGTGAATGGAGATGTGGGCTAATCAAGAAAGGAGGGGCCAACCTAGGTTGACCGAACCACTAGATATTGGGCCTCTATTAATTGGCCCAAACCTACCAAGCCCATATAAGACCAAGAAGCCGTTCGGACGCACGACCTCAAATCAATTTTCCGATCCGTATTTGCCGCCAAACGCTCTCACCATCGTTTCGGCAGCAGGAAGGAAACACTCTTCCTTAAACTATGCTTTCTCTTCATGAAACTTCATCCCTTCCATGCGCCATGTTTCTGCCCTTCGCCTTTGGAATCAGATCTTAACGGAGTTCGATTCAGAGAGTTAATGCGTCGCCTCTGCAGTATAGAAATGCTCTGAATTTGTACTGTAGAATGATAAGTTTTGGGACTTTAGGGCGATGGTTTAGCTGTTCCTTCGGCGATTCCCGGCATGCAGATGCGTTTATGGTGCTCTTGATCGGTGGTCAATTACTAGGAGCTCTAGCCCATATCAGATTGTTCATCGTCACGGTTTATATGTGGGTTTTGATGAGACCCAGTTTCACGTCTTCGAATGACTTGATTGGGTACGAAGCAGAGGACGACAGATGGTTGATGCACATAAACCGTTTGATAAAAGGACTGTTAGAACCCCTTTTGGTTTTGGAACATTTATGGTTTCTGGGTTTCCCCTTTGATAATGAAGGCTGGTTGCTGGTGCTCTTGAGTCTTAACAATGGAAGTGGACCTCCGAGATAAAGAAAGAAAGGGAATCACCATGGTGAGGCACTCTCTCCCAATTTCTCAAATTTTCCAGGTCGTCTTGAAGCTCGGCTTGAGAACCCATATATCATATGATGAATCGGAAACAATAAAAAAAATGTTTGCAGATTTCCTATAAAAAATATAGCTGCTGATTTCAAAACACTTGTGATATACCTTAAATTTTTATCACATCATATTCATAATCTATATATGGTATTCAATATATTCTACATACTATGAATGTCTGCAGGCCCTGCAGCCAAATCACCCACCAACAGCCATCCCCCATGAATTCACGCTCGCACCATCCTGCAGCGACTCTTGAACAACATACCCATGATGATGTTGATGAAGCTGTTCATGATTCTGATGATGGTGGTGGTGATGGTGATGGTAATGATGCAAATGTTGTTGCTGTTCTTGTTCTTGTTCTTCCTGCTGATCAGCCTGTTGTTGTTGTTGTTGTTGTTGTTGTAGTTGCTGCTGTCCGCAATGAAACTGCAACAACATTGGATCACTGTAAACATCCAGACACCCCACCGCCATCATGGCCGCCGAATCAATGTTGCTCTCCACCGTACTCTGCTGCTGCGGATCCTGCGGTTGTTGCTGATGCTCCTGTTGTTGGTGTTGCTGTTGGCAGATGGCGAGCTGATGCAGGACAAGCCCCAATTCAGCCTCGCCGTACTCGATCTGGCGCTGGAGCTCTCGCACGATCCTGTAACACCCGCCAACAGGGTCGCTGGCTCGAACGTCGGACTGGATTATGATTGCACGCATCGCCTCGTCCTTCTCTGCTTTCGTCGAGAGATTCTCTATGATCTTGGTGATCTTCCTCACCCCAAACAGCTTGTGCGCGTTGAGGAACTGGCGCTGGCGGTCGTGTGGGAAATAAGGGGCCAAGACGCAGTCAGGGGCGCACTTCCTGCGCTGGTACTTGCACGCCGCGCAAGCCGGGCTCGTCCCGTTGCTGCTGTTGTTGTTGCTGCTGCCGACGATTCTGTTCTTGATGACGTTGGTTTTGTTGTAGCTGGTGTTGCTTGTGGCTAGGGAAATGGTGGTGGTGGTGTTATTGGTGCTGTGGGTGGTAATGCTCATTATTATTGTTATGGTGATGGAGAGCGATGAGAGGGGGAGAGTTTTTTTGGGCAGCCGCGGTGCCGGCGGGTGAGGTTGTGCCGGGGAGAAGTTTTTGGCTTTTCTGGTTTTCCGTGTTTGAATGGAAACGAGGGGCAAAAGGGAAATGGGAGATGAGGAGAAATGGGAGGAGACCAAGGACACATAAAAGAGGTAACGGATTTTTCTGTTGGGAGGCTATTTTTAGGCAGGTTTTGGAAGAGAAAGGAAGGCCTAATTGTGGAGAGAAAATGGTCATAGGTAGAGAGAGAGAGAAAGTGAGAGTGGAGAGAGAGAGAGTTAAGTAACGATTAATGGTGGTGATAGTTTTGGATCAGAATGGATCCGACGGTGAAATTACAATGGCAGTTGTATCTTAATTGTACTGTAATAGTTATCGGGAATAAAGATTTAGTTTTTCTTCTTTTTTTAATTGTCACTTGTTTAACAGGTCTTGTTATGATGGAATTTTGTTTCTGAAAGAGGTCAAAAGGGATAACATTGGTTTAATTAACAAAGAAATAAAAATTTGATTCGTTGGGGTTGGTTTTGGATTATGAATTACTGTTGAGTAGAATAACTAATTACATGGCTGGCATAATTCATTTGGTTATTTACATGTAGAATTAAGCAAAATATTGGGATATTATTATTTTGTTTGTTTTGTTTTTTTAGGGTGTTTGAGGTTTTGCTATAATTAGTAAATACTCTCAGTCAATATAACTAAATTAGACCATGTTTGATCCATTAAAATTAATTATCTATATATATTTACATACTCTTGAAAACTATTTTAGCACGTGTTGCTTATCTTTGTATGTTATATTCTTCTAATCCATGGTAGAATATAATGGTGCTCCAGACAGTTCCTAAGTTAGAATGGTCACATTTAAGGACATCCAGACTACATGTTTCTTGTTTGTCAGGTAACCAATCATTAAGGTTGTAATGAGTCTTTATTCAGAATTTACTAGAACAAAATAATTTATACGAGATTCAGTATGATAAATTATACGAATAATAACCTATTTTCAATTAGAGGCTAGGTGACCAACAATTCTTCAAGTCACCTCAGACCGAATCAATATTAGAATTGATTCGGACAAAGATCGAAATGTGACTTTTTATTCCAATGCTCAAATTTTCTTCAATTTCGATCTGACCCTATATCAATCCAACCCAATACCAGATCGGACCAAATAATGCCCACACCCTTACCAATCACTCGATCAAACCAAAAGACAGAAATCATGTGCCCAGAGTACATTCTTCACAAACACTGGTTTTTATACATCAATTCTATCTGCCTGTAATAGACTCTTATAGCAGTCTTCTCTTATGATTGTGGCAAAACTAGATTTCCCTATTCGATAATATGAGTCGATGGCAATCATTGTCAAACGAGCATCCATCAACATCAGTGACAACCAGAACATGTATAATAATGTAGAATGTCATCTACTTCTTGAGCAAAGCTACAAGTTACCATCACTACACACGAAAATGGAAGTTCTACAGGATTTCATCTGCGCTCTACATTTCCATAATAATGTAGAACTCCTGTTTACTACTAACCGAAACAAACTGACCCCTGGTGGCTCTTTAACCGTTGTAAGGGAATAGGAAACGCAACTGGCTTCCTCCTTTGGTTGGACACTAGGTTAGTTCATGGAAAAATGCTCATCTTATGGATCACCTGCAAATCAAACCTAAAGAGTGAGAAAATGGAAGAGCCATTGACAACAGGGAAGAGATTATATATCGTTCACCATTCCGCAGGTAGCATTTGGTTCAAGAAATTGGAGGCAAACATCATTCATTCATTCTTCAATACATCATCCTAAAGCATCTCATTTCCAAAAATGAACAAAATGTTCTATCTCGTACCTTTGTTTGTTTGGTATCAGCGGGTACGAAGCAGTCACGGATCAGAATTGATAAGGTCTTCAACAGAGTTTTTGTAGTTGCCAATCAAGTCGCTGGTAATCAACTATCAAGATTAGAACATGTCTCCTCCCAAGCGTTAAGTATAGAGAACTAAACAGGGAGGCTCGAAGATAATGTCACATTCCAAACCTACCTTCGTTGATTAAGCAACTGCTCAGTTTCTTCCAGCTTTTTCTTCTGTCCTTCAACAGTCTGCATTCCAAACATCCGAACAATATATGAACAAAAACTCTCAAGTGAAGAAACTCTTAACAATTAAAACAACTCCTGTGATTTGTCCATCGAGAACAAATGTAACTAGGTTACTTGAACATTTGACAAAACCCTAAACCAACAACCAATTCATCTATTAGTTCTGCAAGAAAACTTGTTCTAGCTCTAAAATGAGTCCATTCATCAATGATGGATCCAAGTTACAAAAATCAACACGATCACCAAAGAACTATCTCGTGCAACAAGGTTCAAGATTCAAAAGAAGTTAGACGGAATTAGTAATTACCATAGACTTGGAGCTGATTGAGCTGGAGATGGAGTTCAACAGCTGCTGGCACTTCTCAAAGTGAATGTTCAACTCATTAACCTGATCTTCCCCATAGCAAAGATCACATTAGTAAATCATCACAGCAGAACATCACAATCTACAACAGAGAGAGAAGGAAACAAACCAAAGCATCAGAGTGCTGATCTCGAGTCCCATTCTCAACAGCATCAGCCAATTTCTCCACCAGCTGCAAAGACAGCAACGAAGTCCTAAACTTTTCCCTGAAAACAAATGAAACCCAACTGACCCGATAAAACCCAAGACGTTACAGGGGAAAGGCGGAAATGGGATGCCAGAGATTGCTGCGGTGGAGGCTGCGGCGGGGTCTGCTGTTGAACCAAACGCTGCGGCGGCGACTGCAGCGGCTGAAACTGTTGTTGTTGTGGCGGGGACTGCAGCGGCTGAAACTGTTGTTGTGGTGGTGGTGGCTGCTGGACTAATTGCTGCGGCGATTGCTGCTGAAATTGTTGTTGATTGAATGGCTGCTGGACTAATTGTTGTTGCGATTGCTGCTGAAACTGATTGAATTGCTGTTGCTGCGGCGGCGGTGGCGTAGGTTGCTGATGGAGGAAGTACTGGTCTTGATTCGAATGGGCGGGGGAATTCGCGTGAGCAGTCATGTTTGGGATCATCGTCCACCCTCCCCCTCCTCCCATTCCTCCACCGAATTGATCCATGCTTCTCTCTTTCACTGTTTCTGAGATGCTATATTGGTTTTCCCGGCGAAGAACCTGGGGAAATTTTGGGGGAAGGAGCAGGCTGCAGGCAGCAGGGAGAAGATCGGAAGAAGGAAAAGAAACAGTTCGATAGCAAGAGAGACACCGTTTTAGTGAGGGGTTCGACTTGTATTTATCACCTGCCGGTTGGTAAACTTTTTATGTAGTCACTATTGTTTTACACAATTACGAATTTAGTCTTCGTATTTCGTATATACTAATAATTCGCATAGTTACCGGTAAGTTACGTATAAAATAAGTACAAGAATTTTACTTCCTATCTAAACTAATGATGTGCCTAATAGTATTTCAATGGACATTAAAAATGAAATACAGGTTTTATACATGCAATAAGATATATGGGAAATAATATGAAAACAAAAATTTTAAACCCATAAAATATATACATCCATATATACATGTATTAAACGAAATACTTACTAACTATGGCTATTTTTGTAAGAAAATGTGTGTTCAACTTTAAGCATATACGACTTAACTAAATAATGTTTCATTCCACTAGTCATGGCAATTATGTGTAGCTAAATAAGGTAACACCTATCCTGTAAGTAGCATTGGACAGGATATGAATTTTGATTTTATTTTATATTTGGACAATCTGCTTGTTTTTTATCCATTCTATCACAATTATTTTTAATATTTAACTCATGTTTATGTTATTTTTACATGGCCACAAAATAAATTGTTATAACTTAATGACTATAACTCACTACAAGCCTCCATTTATTAAGTAAATTATATTTTATCATTTGATTAGAAGTCTTTTTCTCTTGTGCTTTCATGTAAAAATCAAGAAAATATATATTTTTCAACCAAATGTTAACATGGAATAATATGTTCACTTTTTTTGTTTTGGTAAATATTTTGAAGTTTAGTGACCATGGTTGAAGTTATTTCCAACGAAGATGGTGGCAGGGCCTGGTAGGAAGCATATACCAAAGAAAGTGCCATTTTTTTCTCTTAAATTTCTGTATAGCAGCAACAGAGAGTCAGAGACCATTGGGTAAATAAACGCAAGCCCTCATTTTTAGCTCGTACAAACAAGAAAAGGAGGGAGACGAACAGAGGGCTCTCGTTCTCTTTTTCTCTTATTAACTCTCTCTGTCTCTCTCTCGATCCCCGGCAAAATTTTCTCTTTTCCCGCTTCTGCAGATTTACAGAAGAAAGAAATTAAAGTCAATCACCCAGAGAAGAGATTTCTGTCTTTATTTGGAGGATTTGTTTCAGAAGGTTAGGTTTCAATTCCATTTCGCTCTTCATCTTTTTAGCGTTTGGTTTGTTGAGGCTGATTGCATTTTGAACTTAGTAAAGAACATAGCTTTAATCTCTCTAGAGGGCCATAACTTCACAACCTTTTCGATAAGCGTTCTTAGTAAGTGCTTCGAAATTGGGGGAGACGGGGAAAATAGTTTTCTGCGTTCAGTTAGTTGTATGAAGGTAATTGACTAAGTAAGAAGTTCCTTTCTTAGGCTTATCGTGCTTAGGTTTGTATATCTTGTCAGAATCGTTTGTTCACCTAGGCTATCTAAATGATTATCAGTTGTATTTTGGATACATTATTGAGCAAGCACTTGGGTTGCTGCTTCATGCAATGTGACTTCCTGGAGTCTGTATCGAATCTGAGGCCGAGTTTTGTTTTTCTGTTGGTAGCTTGACGGATTGCAAATGTTGTTGCTTTTCCAATAGGCAGTTGTTTGGTTAAGATGTGATGGAATGGTTAGCAAATGAATGCGGCACATAATGGGCAGCCCTGATCTTTATAGCTTTGGCTGCATTATGGTAACTACAGAAATTTTGTTTCATACCTTACTCAAGGAGTGGTTAATGCTGTAGCTTGCTTAAAACATGGTATGTTGATAGTTAAGACCAAATCAAGCAAACTGACATCTGAGATGGTTTGCATCTTTGACATCGTTATGCTACGTTGAAATTTACATTCTGCAGTAGCACTATACAGATTTTCTTACTTTTCTGGCATAGGAGGGTCTAGGTTATTCTGTCTGTTTGTAGCTTATAGCTGGGAGAACCATTTTTCAGTTTTATCTTCTGCAACCTAGATAACTGAAAGAAGATCTCATAGACCTTTGGAAGAGTAGCTTTCTTCTTCTTCTTCATTTGTTCCATTAGAAAGACTTTTCAACTTCACCTTTTGAGTCTTATAAGGTGCATGGTACCTCCCTGGAATTTCATGTATCATCCGACATGTTACATTGCTCAAATCTTTCTAAGTTTGCATTAAAACAGTTACGAAACTTTTTATCCAAATCACGATCATAGAAATCTTGGACATGCCCGAATTATGGTAAGAGATGCACATACAAGGCTCGTGGTATAACAGATGGGGGTAGCGAACGATTGAATTTTCTGCCTGCTGCTTTATGTTACTGACTGTGGAACATCCGATGTTGCAGATAGAGAAAATGTCAATAAAGCCAACGGTTGCATTCAGGGCTGTACTTGTTGGAGGAATAGCAGTGTTCGCAAAAGTAGCTGGTGCAATGAAGGCAGCCGGTGGTGCAAAGCTTGGTGCTGCTGCAACGGCCATGACCATGGCAGCTTCAGCAGCTATGTCTAGTTCAAAGAAGGAAGAGTCTGAGCCTTCCAAATGATCTTTTTATTTGTGGTTTGTAATTTTCATCCAGAGTCAGCAGAATGTAGCAGGATTTCACCTTGTAGAACTATGTATCAGCCATAGAGCATGTTAACATTTCCCATTATGCAGACCAGATACTTCACCTCTCTTGGCGGTGTTTCTGACGTGCTATGTTAATTTTTGTCCCTCTTCTATTCCTATGAAATGATGGTTTCATCAGTTTTTGCTCTTTTGGCTCATGAAAAGGTATGCCTGACTGCTTTGATTTCAGCAGAGATGTGATTTTGTTTCTGAAAGTTTGGCCAAAGATCATGTAGCCTTTATGATACATTGCCATCTTGGTTAAAGAAAGGATTTGAATAACTGGACAAAAGGTTGCCTTGGAAACTGGGAATTGAACTCCAACCTTTACAAGTTACTACAAAGTATAAACACTGGTTTCTAAACCAAGACCAGTCTTCTTGTCACGCATTGTACTCATCTTCAACTCTGGATATTTGATCCCAGCTACTGAAATTGCATGCATGGCGATACAGTCTTAGTTCGGTTGATTAGGGTGAGATCACCATTTGATCATCGGTTCAGTTTACAAGGTAGTTAAAGTACGTCCAATCTCTGCAAGTTTGGTTTCCTTGAACCACAGGTAAAGTCTTGATTATCAACTGAGTGTGTCAAAAGTTCAGGGCTAGGAGATTCAAGCTCTAGTATCACCTGCACAAACCAGAATCCAGAATAAGAATTAAGCAAGGGGCAAACACTGGGTGTTCCAGTTTATCACATTAGCAACTGAATGAAGTGTCTTTAAGCTTTATGGGAAGCTTTATACCAGAACGTTCTCCCCATGCTTAAGTACTGGAGCAGGGACATAGAGATTGCATTGTGGTCCAAAAGACTGCAAATGAAGTGAAAGTCGAAAATTTCAGAAATCAAAGGACCGACAAACACTATGCACAAAAGGAAAGTCATGATCTTTACCGGCCAGTATCTTCCAATATTGAAGTCATTAACAAAGGCAACTCCTTTCCCCCAGCCTCTGAATGATATGTATGTATCTGAGATTGGGTTAGCTTTATCAACAGAGAAACTGCCAGCATAGAAGGTCGGTTCGACTGAGATAACTCCTGCCAAAGGATGAAAGGATTATTTGCAATTGGGTATCCTCTTCATATGGGGTTGGATGGAAGAGGAAACTTATGCTTTCATATGGTAGGGAACAACCTACTTGACGTATGTTTCGCCTTTTTTCCTGTGGATACTGTGAGTGCACTAGCCTGTGAGACCCGGGAAATGGGATTAACTTTCAGCATTTCATTCAGGTTTATTTTCGGCTCTTCATTCAGGTTATGCAGAGGTACTGATATCATTCTCCATCCATGCAAAGCCTTTCCATCTATATATACAGAAGAAAGAATTCCCTGCAAACATAGGGAAGTAAACCCAGTTTGCATATTTGGCATTTAAAGAGAACCCATTAGTCAAAAAGATTGACATCAGCAGGTACCTTTCTGTCAAAGGTGTATTGTCCATAGTTTACACGGCCCATATTTTCGACCTGTAGATAACACAAACTATATCAGGCATATGGAAGCTGACTGTTCCAGTATTCAAAAAAGGAATATAGACCGCAAAAGGCTAGACAACTAAATTGAAATTGAGTTATTAGAGTCCAACCCATGACGATATTATCCTGAAAACAAATTCAAATGCACTAGAAGATTTGGTGGTATTTCAACGGTTAGTGAAGTACCAAAACAAATAAGCTGGTATTGGAAGTGCATTTTGCATTCGGAAGGCCAAGTTGTTTATTTGACCACCTTTCAACAGCACCAATATATGTTGGGCGCCCTTTGTTATTTCCAGTAGCACAAGATGTAAACACCTGAGCTCTGTCATGGACCTGCAACCCAAAGATTCAATGCTTCAAGCAATATGTAAACTAATCTAGGGGAAAACATCTTTACTATTCTTATACCTCTGGTATGAACAAGGAGTTCCCTTTGACCTTGGAAGAATAGCTAGAGATGTATACCACGAAACCAAACATCTGGAAGAAGGTCGTACAACTAATCATTACGGAAACAGATAAGCCTGACAAGTAGGGCAATTAAATTTAAAAAATACAGAAACTAATGACGAAACCTGTCCCAGTGACTCCATGGGGAGTGGGTCTACTGATTCAACTGCTTCAGTAGATTTTTCTAGATCGAGTAAGTCAAACAGTGAGCTGGTTTTGTGCAAGTTAATAGGTCCATATCCTATTTTTCGAATATTGGCAGGAACTTGGGGAAGAGATGTTGCACTGTGAAGGCTTATGACCTTCCTCAAAGCTGAAGAACATCGAAGAAGAAAATATCATTCTATCAGCTCATTGTGAAAAGGAAGGAAAGGTGTGAAAAACCTGTGGTGGCTAAAACACTCAAGTACAAGTTTCGGTAGCAGAAATAAAGATACCAGTAAACTTTGCGCCGTCAACATCTCCAGATTCACTGATTGGCGCATCCTTGAAATGCCAATAAGTTTGGTGAATACATTCCATTTTAAAATGTTTAAGGCGAAAATAAAAGAGATTAGTGAACTTTTCACTCACATAATCATAGGAAGTGAGGTCTGGCTTGTAATCGGACTCATCCGTACCAGTATTTGCTCCACTGTAAAATCCAAAGTTTGTTCCACCATGTGCCATCTGCAGTTAAAGAACAAGATGTAAAGGACCCCTTAGCCAACATACAGAAACTTTTGATCGGGATTAAGTATGAGAAGAAAATTGAGAACGTACGTAGAGTACAGCAGAACCATTACGTGATAGTATCTTTTCCAGAGCTGATGCAGTAGATTCCGCGTCAGTTGTTGCAATCTTTTCACCCCAATGTGTTAGCCAGCCAGTATAGAACTCCCTGGAAATCAAGAGCGCGATCAGCAGCTTTAAACTGCTGAGTAATGACTAATGATTGTGATGGAACTTATGCAATTGCTTACGTGGAGAGTGGCGGTGATTTTCCTGGTTCGTTAAACTCTTTCTGCAATTTGAATATAGGCCAAGGATCATCACCAGTGGTGAAGTCAACAGCTGCAGTTTCATTGGAATATAGGTTAGTTGTGGAAAGATACATTTCATGGATTACATTTACACCTGCAGAAGAGATTCTCCAAAATTTTCACTGACCTGAGAAAACAGCACCTCCACGAATGGTTCCTTTCTGAAGGTTTTCCCTAGCACCTCCATCAGTGGTATACCTGACAAAGTAATTTATGGTCGTGAGAGGGAGGGAAGAAACAGTTTCTCAAGTTGTTTGGGACAATGATTAGAAGATGGGTCAAAACATTGGAAAAGAGGAATGATAAATGAGGCACAGGTGATCTGTTAGAGCAGACATTTTCATAAGATCCAACAAGTGGACCATGATATAGAGAAATACTTTTATTCCTCAACCACATAAATAGGGAGGACTAAATGCATGAACACACGATAGAGACATAGACCTCTTACAAGATTATGCTGTCTCCAAGATGTCTTCGGGCCAATTGTACCAAGTGATGCAGATAATTTTGGTCATCGCCATACGAACCGAATTCGTTTTCTATCTGTCAAGATAGTGTGTTTTAGTTGACGACTAAGGTGGATTAGTATAGACGGTAATATATAAGTTGGGAACATCATTTATTCTTCAGGAGGATGGGCGGAGATGTGTTGAAAAGATCAATCTAATAGCGCCTAGCCTCCTACTATTTAGGCTTGCGTTTCTAGAGGGAACAACTTTACAGTACATCAACCAAATATAATTTGTAATGAAAACTTACATACCTGAACCATAATAATCGGACCACCATTATTGTAAAGTAGGGGTGCTACCTTAGGAAGCAGGGTTCCCCACCATTTATCAACCTACAGTAATTTAAACCGCAACATTTTTATAAGAAAATTGTTGTTATAAACTTACAATCAACAACTATTGAGTCCCAAAAGCATTAGCATAGATAGGCCGTCTTCCAAAAGCCTACCATCAGCTACTGAACAAACCAAGATACCAACATCATCCGACTACCTTAGACAATGCATATCAAAGATGCCAATAAATCGATTAGTTCTAAAACGCCAATTTCCACCAACATACCAAGCGGAGATAAGCAGGGTCAGATGATCTCAGCTTGAGAGGTGGTTCAGTGGCTAGTAACCAAGCAGGGAATCCCCCCAAATCCCATTCTGCAGCAAGACAATAATGCTGTACACATTCCTTGGCTGGCAATATTGGATTCATTCAAGGACATATACTTGAGTAAAGAAAGCTAACCTCCACATATATAAGGACCGGCTCGAAGCATAACAAGTAAATCCAACTTCTGACACAACTTCAGGAACGACACCAGATCAGCTATGCCTTCAAAACTGAGCTTCCCAGGTTGCGGTTCATGAAGATTCCACGGAACGTACGTTTGAATCGTGTTCAATCCCAATGCCTTCACCTTCAGCAGTCTATCTTCCCAATACTTTGCCCAAAAAGATTCACTACCATTACTTCTAAAACAGACAACAAGATCGCACTGCAATGAGAGAAAGTATAAATGACGCATATATACCTCAGGAAGTGTGCGGAAGTAATGCAAATCGCCCCCGATAATCCGAAAAGGATGGCCATCTTTCCAGAACATGTCTTCAGCAATCTCAAACGTTCGAGCATCAACCTAGTAAAAGCCAAAAACAAAAAACAAAAATTAGAATCTTCATCCACTGCAACATGTCAAAATCAAGTCAATGGCTGAGCGTTCATCGTTGCACTTCAATTGAACTAAAAGCGGTTCAAGTGAATCGATTTCCCATGACTTATTTATCACCCCAAGCCTCTAATTAACACCAAAATCCTAAAATGGTTCAGGAAAAAAAGATGGAAACTTTCCAAAGGACCAACCAATTGGCGACGGGAAGAGCTGCGATTGTTGCCGTGGGGAAGAGAAGGGAGAAGAAGGGAGAGGGCGGGGACGAAGGCGCAGAAGGCAGCGAGAGCTAGAAGGAGTAAGAAT